TTGGGTTGCCCCGGCAATGGAGGAAGCCAAACTTCCTGCCCGTCTTGGCTGGCTGGCCCTGACCTCCACTCAAAGCTACAAAGTTTCAATTATAGAAGATAAATAAATCCCAGATATCTGCTTCTAACCGACTCTGGCCTCTGCTCAAGGAGGTGCTGGAAAAAAAAAAAAAAAAGGAAAAGAATAAAAGGGGCCGGGAGCTTGGGTTGCTGGGGCGTGATCAGGACAGGGTAGTATAGCAGTTGTGGGTGATCAGGTTTTTGGAGGGCGGGGCCATTGGGGGTAAGCAGACTAGCAGGGGGGCCAGTTGGGTGTGAACAGGCCATCAGTGGTGGTCAGTTCAAGGTGATCAGGACAGTGGAGGGGGTAGTTCTGAGTGAGCAGACAGTAGGGGGGCCGTCGGGGGTGAGCAGGCCAGTGGAGAGGTAAAGGGGGGACAATCAGGCCAGCAGGGGGAGCAGTTTAAGGGTAGGTACAACTCTTCATTGTGTAGTAAATAAGCTGTGGAGATTTAATGCACAGTATAATGTATATAGACAACAATAGTTTACTACAGCCCTAACTGGTTTGGCTCAGTGGATAGAGCATTGGCCTATAGACTGGGGGGTCCCAGGTTCGATTCCAGTCAAGGGCTTGATGCCTGGGTTGCAAGCTCAATCCCCCCAGGGGGGGCGTGCACGAGGCAGCCAATCAATGATTCTCTCTCATCATTGATATTTCTATCTCTCTCTTTAACTCTCTCTCTCTTCCTCTCTGAAATGAATAAAAATATATTAAAAAATAGTTCACTATAATTATGTAATGTAAAAAATTACAAAGGCAATCATATTACAATATATGTGTGTCAAAGTAACATGTTGTACACCTTAAATTTATACATAGCTGGTGGCAAAACAAAATGTGAAACTAGCTATGTCCAAATTACTCATCCCTTGATAACTACCATTTTACTGTTTTTTTATGAGTTTGACTTTTTTAGATTCTACATAAGTGATATATACTATTTGTCTTTCTCTATTTGACTTATCTCACTTAGCATAATGTGTTCAGGGTCAATCTATGTTGTTAGATGGCAGGATATACTCCTTTCTCATGACTGTGTAATATTCCATTGTAAATACATATCACACCTTTTTATACATTCAGGTGTTTACGTATCCTGTCTGTTGTGAAAAATGCTGCAGTAAACAATGAGAGTACATATATCTATTGAAAACTCTGTTTTTCTTTCCTTTGAGTATATAATGCTGAGTCCTATTATGTATAAAACATAGTGCTTACCCTTAAATTAAAGCAATGAAAAAGATATAAGTGGTTTTTAAGTTCATAGGCAGAGTATCATCTAGTAAATATTAAAAGCAAAGAGGGCTTCAGACTCAAGACAAACTGAGCATCATATATGCTTTGGGTTTTTTGTTTCCAATACTCTTTAGTAATCGCAATATAAAAGCACAAAAAGGAGTAGCAGACAAATATTTCAATAAATTTTTGAAGGACTGAAAACTCAAGTGGGAGCTAAACTACCTTCTGGAACACCTTCCAGGAATTTTAGGCAGGTATAATAGATGAAAGGAGGTGAACGGTGAGCCTGAAAACAGGGATAAAGGTTTGTATTGGGTAAGCTGTGGTATAGATGGGCACTCAGGCCCAAATTCAGAATGTCAGGAAGATTATTATTTATCTTAGGACAGAAACCTCAGGGCTTTTCTGGTGTATGGATTTGTGCACTGGTGGGGTGCCTTGGCCTTGCCTTTGGGAATCAGGCTGAAACCAATTCTCCTACATCCCCAGAGGGGTCCCGGATTGCGAGAGGGCACAGCCCAGCCAAGGGACCCCACCGGTGCATTATCAGGCCAAGAGAGACCGCAGAAGGGCTCCAAGGTGTGACTGGCCCATCTCGTCTAGTCCCAATCAGCCAGACCCCAGAGCAAGCTAACCTACCTGTCGGCATACATCATAGCAACTGGTCAAGTGTCAAATGAATGATTTGACACTTAGCATATTGGGATTTTATTTTATAGGATATTGCCCTGGGGTATTAACACTCCAGAGTAAAACATTCATTCCTTTTGTTTTGTGGCTAATACAAAACAAAAACATAACATGAAATCTGCGCTTTTAACAAATGTTTAAGGGTACAGTACAGTGTTGTTAACTACATGCACATTGTTATACAGAAGGTCACTAGAATTTTTTCATATCGTGTGACTGAAACTATATCATACAAAGCAATTTTTCATTTCCCCCTCTTCTCAGCCCCTAGCAACCATCATTCTACTTTCTGTTTTAGTCGGTTTGACTATTTTAGATAAACTCAGTACAAGTAGAATCATTGTCTGGCCTATTTCATGTAGTTTCAGTCCTCATAGTTCATTCATGTTGTATGACTATTTCTTTCTTTTTTAAGACTGAAAATATTCCATCCTATACCTCATTTTCTTTATTTATCCATTAATGGACATTTAGGTTGTTTCTACCTCTTTGCTACTGTGAAATTGCTATAATGAACATTGGAATGCATACATGTCTTTGAGATCCTATTTTCCAGAAGTGGGATTGCTGGATTAATGATAGTCCTATTTTTAGTTTTTTGAAGAACCTCCATATTGTTTTCAATAGCAAGTACACCATTTTACATTCTCATCAATAGTGTACACGGGTTCCATTTTTTTCCACTAGTGCTGACCATGTTCATATTATATGAAGTAAGAAATATGAGACATGAGCTTTGCCTTCAATAAATTTCAGTTCCTTCTTGAAATGTAGTGCTCTTTCTTTCCATCTTTATTTAACTAATACTTTATCATGGTATTTCAATTCAAATGCTATATTGTCAACAAAAGCTTTCCTGACTCCACAGACCAGGCTCATTCTCATATTATAAGATCCTATAGCTGCTCTTCTTTGGAACACTCAGTGCAGATGTAATTTACAGAATTATATGAAGCCATTTATGTATTTTTTATGTGCCCTCCCATTCTTTTAGCACTTTCTTATTTTCTGGTATAAAAAGATGGACCAGGCTTTTCTCATCCGATTGGTGCCACAGCTCTGGATTCAGCCATTTCTCTAAAAGCCTTGATTCCTTTTTAGATAATAGTATCTAAAAATCAGTATTTGGGGCTGTCCTGATCCTAGGCCCTTTAAGTGGACACAGCTAGTGAGTGCATTTTGTACACATGTGTATATTTAAACATCCTTAATACATTTTCTGATTTAATCAGTCCCTTATATGTGCCAGTTCTTGTCACTATTCCCTTTCCATCATGGGCTACTTGGGCTTCAACACCTCATATCAGCTGACTCCTCTATGTGGACACCCTTCTTACCTTACTTGGGCTCAATCAGAGTGTGTCAGACTGTCCACACTTACCCTTTCCCCATATGAAAGTTTTGTCTTCTCTTTTGGACTCCTATACCCTATACCAGATGCCTATCTACAAGGACACCTTCCTTACCTAATTTGAACTCCAGCTCTCCAACTTTAGGTACCCTCCCATACAGTTCCCCTCCTCAGCTTGCGTGGCTACCAATACCTCACTTTTCAGTCACCCCTTCACCTAGATTTCCCTCTTCACCCTGCTCAGGTTCTGATACTTAACTACAGCTGCTCTTCTCACCAGGCACAGGCTCAGACATCAGACTACCGCCCAATATGAATAGACCACCCTCCTATATTCCAGTTGGACCCTGATATCCCACACTGGGCTTGCTAACCCAAAGAGATGTCCACCTTGCTTTATCTCTGGCTTAAACATCTCCAGTTTCTTTGATGGATCCTCATATCATGTTATATCTTAGGATAGAGAAATAAGACAGCAGGTGGCCTGTTGGAGTGACTTGATAACAACAACTCAGAGGGCAGAAAATACTTGATAGGCTAAGGACATGGTCTTTGAAATTACTCTCACTTCTGAACAGCTGGCTATAAAGTTTGGTTCCTGTATTACCCCTGCCAGTTTGACAATTCACTAGAATAAGTCATATAACTCAGGAAAGCATTCTACTTGTCTTACAGTTTTATTATATAGCAAAAGGATAAAATTAGAATCTAAAGAAGAAATGCATAAGGCAAGATCTGGGAGAATCCTAGATTTGTGAGGCTTCTGTTATTCTCTCCTCATGGAGTCAGGATGCATTACCCTCCCAGAATATTGATATGTTACAAAATATAGAATATTGCCAACCAGGGAAGCTCACCCAAACTTTAATGTCCAACGTTTTTATTTGTGATTTATTATATAGGCATGGTTGATTGAATTATCATCTCAAGCCCCTTTTCCTTCCCTGGAGGTTGGATTTACATCATGTGGTTCAAAGTCCCAGCTCTAATCATGTGGTTGGTCTTACTTGTGGGGCCAATTCCCATCCTGAATCTCCTTAGCATAAATTATCTAGGGGCCCACCTTGAATCACCTCATTAACATAAACTCTCAGAGCCCACTATGAATAACAGAGACACTTCTATCACTGAGAAATTCCAAGGATTCAGAGATCACCTTCCAGAAGTCAGGGACAATGACCAGCCAGATTCCTTTTTGTCATTCTTTTGTTTTATTTATTTTTTAAGTATATTTTTATTGTTGGTAGTATTAGAGATACCTAGTATCTCTTTATTCCAGGGTTTAGAGGTTACTTCCTAGCAACCAGGACAAAAGCAAACCAAATTCTTTATTATGCAAGCTATGAAAAACTAACTTGCTTTCTTTTGTGGTATACATATCTATTTTTTACTTTTAAAATATCTACTTTGTGATTTCCATATTACCTTCTTGGATTAAGATAATTGTACAACTTAATAATGATTATAATGTGCTTACCTCTCATTTTTTAATCATAGAAATGAATAAATTATCAGAAATGTTTTAATATTGCTAAATAAAATGATATTGGCATTGGAGTGATATAATCAAGTTTACAGTGTTTTAAGGTAAAAGTTTTAATTTACTTGTAATATATTTTGTCCTTTACCTGTCACTTATGTATCTTATTTGTTTTAGGTACGTCTTTAGCCTTTCCAGCTTCAGTTCATGATTCTCTGATTTGCAGTAAAACATTTCAAATTCTATATAAAAATGAGGAGGTTGCTTTAAATGATGTTATGATCTTCAAAGTTAAAATGTTGTTGGATGAAAAAAAGGTAAATATCTCTTTATATATATTTAGATAACTTTTTTGTAAAGCCTCAAGGCATATTTATAATTTCTATAAATATTTTAAAAGTACTTTGTATTATAATTTTTCTTCAGATTGAAGAAACTCTTGAGGAAATGGGTTTTCTGTTATCCTTGGATTTGCACTTTACAGATGGAGATTATTCGTAAGTAGGCAAAGAAAACAATTAAAAATCCATAGTTAATCGTAACTATTACCTGTTAATATTAGATTCCTCATTTACTTTTTAGAATTCAACATTTCCCCAGTGGTTAAGCATACTCCTTTATGCCATGAGCTTCAGGTAGTGAAATCAAACAAGATTTTATATCGCTGTCTATATGTAAACATGCTTTAAAATTTATTTACATTATCAGTTTTTAAAAAATAAGTAACTAAATGTTTGAATAGTTTAAACAGCTTTACAGAATATTAGCCTTTAGGAAATATTCTATACTTATTTGCACATATGTTGCTTTTTCTAGGGCAGATGATCTGAATGCCTTGCAACTAATAAGTAGCCGAACATTGAAGCTGCACTTTAACATCCATAGAGGTCTTCATCATCATGTTAATGTTATGTTTGATTATTTCCACCTTTCTGTTGTGACTGTTACAGTCCATGCATCTTTGGTTGCACTACACCAGCCACTAATAAGGTAAAGTTAACCCAATACCTGGTCTTTATTAATGTAATATCTTTTATAGTGAAAACAGATACTTTGATAAAGATAACTGAAGAACTAAGGAATTTCTAATTCATAGTTATTTAATAAATACTTTCATTTTATACTAAAATATTCAATTAATAAAATTGAAGAATATGGGAACATTTGAATAATAACTTTATTGTAACAGAAATATGCAGCAATCATTGTCAGATAAACTGACCAAGAAAAATAATGCAGTCTGGAAATAACCGTATATTATTGTTTAGTCTGAATTTATGTTTTCATGCAGTGCTACACTGTAATTATTCAACCTCTGGAAAAGTATATTAATTTTTTCTTAGATTTTTGTTTGTCTCTTGTCTGGGTGGACTAATTTTATCTTCTTAAATCTATACAATATAATTCTTGTCTTCTAACTCAATCAATTTTAATACATCTTGACTAAATCTTTTAAAATTATGTATATCACTTTAGCTTAAAAGTGCATAAAATTCTGATTATAATAAATGCATTGAAGAAGTTATTTTGTTCTGCCCACTACATTTTCTTTTGTTAATGTAAGAATACAATTCAAGCTCTCATTTTTATAATAAAACATTTTCCTTATGGTATGGGAAATTCATGGACACTTCAAATCAGTAATATATGAAAAGACTCCAAATTCATTGGATTTTTTTAATTGTCTATTTTATAATTTCTGACACAAATCTGATTCCAACAACTGATATTAGGGATAATGCTTAAAGGTTATGATATTAGACTAATTTGTGGGGAACATTGAGTAGGTAATTTTGTAGAATTATCCTCCGAATTTGCAGAATACCTCCATAATTTAACATATTGCCCATAAGTAAGAGCCTCCTGTGGCATATCTTTATTGTTTTAAAAACTTAAGTGAGAACCTCTTCCATAGTATTTTCCCATAAACTCTTTGAGAGCAGAGGGCCAGGAAGAGATCTGTTTGATGACTTGCTTTGCCTTCCTTATTCTCTTGTAAGATCTAGTTCTCTAATGAGTAACTAATCTTTGGCCATCTTTATCTTACCTCTTAGGCACTTTGAGTGTTTTTTCTCGATTGCTTGTAACTTCTGTAAATAGAACCATGTACTATTATATATTATTTTATCATAAACTTCTTCAAAATTTTTTAGATTTTGATTGAATTAATATGTAATATGATAACTGAATGAAACTTTCTAACAAGAAAGTGGTTTTTGAAATATAACTTTGAAATAAGTAGTATGTAATGCTACTTTTATATGAATTGCATATTAGTTTATAATGATGAAAGTTTGTTTATGAAATACATTTCTGTAGTTTTATGAAGCTCTTATTTTTGTATTTTCAATAAGAATCCCTAACTAAACTAAATCTACCATTCTTTTTTCTTTATAGCACTGACTTGGTTTTTCTTCTGAAAAATACATAGTTTATAGAGATTAGCTCAGGTTATTAATGTTGCTTTCTAAGGCCTTGAATACATATAGTAGCAATATTCATACTAATCCTAGTGAGTTAAATGTGTACTTCCTCTTGTAATGCAGCAGTTTTTGCCACAGACTAGTAGGAGAAAGGGACACCTCATCTCCTAAAGACTGTTTGCTGGAAGAAGACATTTTTGGCTCAGAATCAGAAGCCAAGAGGATTAAGTGTTGGCTCTGGTTAGTGATTGGGAAAGAAAATTAGGGGCCTGCAACATCTGAGGCTCTGTTCTTTACCTAGCTGCCATGGGCCTTGATTTCCCTCTCTTGCTGCTAGAATTTTGCCCTGAAAGAAGCAACATCTTTCCCTGCCTTTCTTTGCCTGTATATGAGGCTGGAGAAGGGAAGTAAGGAGAGGGTAAGGGACAGCTTTTTGCTGGTGGTGTGCTGGTAGAGGGGTCATGTTAAGGGTAATATTCCTCATTATGCTTCGTCAAGTTTTTCCTGAAGTTTTATTATAGGTGAATTTTTTATCTTGAAACAAAATGAAAAAATTTTAATTTATAATATCCTTTTCATTAAACAATTTATATGATCAACCCAACTATAGCCATTAAATCAGTTATGTAAAATTAAGTGGGGTTAGGATTTCTTTGTTTGCTTGTTTTTTATGTAACCTGTTTGTTATATATGAACTGGAGGCCTGATGCACGAAATTTGTGCAAGAGGAGGCCTTTCATCCTCCCAGCTGCCAGTACCGGCTTCCCTCAGGCACCTGGGACCCGGCTTCCCTTTCAGCCCTGGCTTCCCCCATTCCAATTAGCATATTATGCTTTTATTATTATAGATTCTTTATGTACAACTTTTATAACTCAATTCTCAAAAATGCATCTTAGCAAGTGGAATTTACCATTGACTTGCTCCCTTCTTTACTGGGGATTTTGATTTTGCAGATGAAGGCTATTCTCAGCTTATGGCAAAACTGATTTACTTTCTTGTCTTTTCCCTTTTCTCACATTGCCAAATATCGGGTCTAGTAATAATTAATGTCGTTTTTAAACATTCGTTTAAAATCTTGCTTGGCATTGACTTGTATTGACATAACCTTCAAACACGTGGTATCTACAGAACGTGTGAAGTGCAATTAACAAGTTTTGCTTGAAAAAGTTTGTGTTTGGTTTGGTTTTTGTTGCCAAACTAGGGCTAAGAAGATGGAGGATGAAGAGCATATTCGGCACTGCATGCTTTACGAGTTCCAATTAGGAAGAAAAGCAAGTGAGGCTGCAAAAAACATCTGTAGTGCTCTTGGTCAAGATGCAGTTAGCGCCAGAAAATGCCAGTGTTGGTTTGAGAAATTTCGCGAGGGAAATTTTTCGTTAGATGACAAGAGTGGTCGAGGCCGTGTGTCCAATTTTGATCAAGAAGCTCTTCAAGCTCTTTTGGTGCAAAATCCTCAAATTACCCAACAAGAGCTTGCGACAACTTTAAATTGTTCACAAAAAACAATTTCCAATCAATTGCGTGCACTTGGCAAAGTCCAAAAGTTTGGAAAATGGGTTCCTCATGAGTTGACCGACAACAACCGTAATCAAAGAGTCACAATTTGCAGTACGCTCCTCTCTCGTCAAAACCGTTTGCCGTTTTTAGAGCAAATTGTTACCGGAGATGAAAAATGGGTGCTGCATGTTAATTTGAAAAGGCGGCCTCAATGGTTGGACAAAAATGAGGCTCCGCAGCCCACGCCAAAACCTGACTTGCATGCGAAAAAAGTGATGTTCTGTGTTTGGTGGAATTTTAAAGGAATTCTTCATTATGAACTTTTACCATCTAACCAAACCATTACAAGTGCAGTGTATAGTGCCCAATTGGAAAGGTTAGCCCAAGCTTTAAGAGAAAAAGAACATGCGCTGATTAATCGGAAGGGCGTATTAGGTCTAGTAATAATTAATGTCGTTTTCTAATACTTTTTTAAATCGAATTTATTTAAACAATACAACAAAATTTAATCAACAATATAGTTGCCGTTGTTTTCTACTACTTGTGCCCAACGCTCAGGAAGCATTTTAATTCCTCTGTTGTAAAATTCTTGTGATTTTGATGCAAAAAATTCGGTCAATGCATTTTTGAGGCATTCTTCATTATTCAATTTTTTTCCAAGAAGAAAGTTTTGCAAAGAACGAAACAAATGGTAATCGGAAGGGGCAATATCAGGAGAATATGCAGGTTGAGGGAGAACTTCCCATTCCAACTGGCGCAGTTTTTCAGCAGTGATTCTTGCAGTATGCGGTCGTGCATTATCGTGGTGAAGAATTATTATAGTTCATAGCCTTTTAGTGAAGAGAAAGAAAATACCCTTTTTCGAGAAATAGAGGCACAAATAAATTTAGTAATTTCCCTACATTTAATGTGGGAGCTCTCAACTTCTCTATGTAGTATCCATATTTGATTACGTAAGTGTTAACTTTATAAAGTTGGTAACCAGTTCTGACAGATCGTTATTTCCAAATTAAAGCTTGACCCTCATTTGTCATTTAACTGCTCTGGATCCCGCTGTTTTATCTTCGGGATCCTTTGAGGCTCCCTGAAGCCCAGTTATAAAAAAAAATAATCTCAAGCATCTAATCTTAGTTTTAAAAAATATATGTTCATTGTATCTTTTCATAATAATTTTAATTACTAAAGGAAAAATTACTTTGGAATACTTTAGAAATCATAAACTTGCAAAACCCTTGCTTTTTATTCTATTCCTATAAGACTTTTTAAATATTTAAATTATTATTTAAGTAGACTATTGTGATCATAATGTACTTATTCCTCCAGCTTTCCTCGCCCTGTGAAGACTACTTGGTTAAATAGAAATGCACCAGCACAAAACAGAGATTCTGTGATTCCAACTCTTGAAAGTGTGGTCTTCGGTATTAACTACACAAAACAGCTATCACCAGATGTAAGAACTAATATGTTTATAGATCCTTCCTTCTTATTTCAAATGAGATGTTTCTTTAATGTTTTATCTGTGAATGTGATATTTCTTTTATATTAATATTTTGAGCTCAACAACTTATAGACCTAATTACCCTGTTTCCCCAAAAATAAGGCAGTGTCTTATATTAATTTTTTCTCCCAAAGTTGCACTAGGTCTTATTTTCAGGGGATGTCTTATCTTTCCATGCACTAGGTCTTATTTTTGGAGGATGTCTTATTTTTGGGGAAACACAGTAAATATGATTCTAACAAATTGGTTGGTTCCAGTTGTTTATTTTGAAATTTTAACTGGATACTTAAAGATTTTACCAAATTTAATAGATAGAGATCTTTGCCTTTTTAAACTTCTAACTGACACCTCTTGCTCTCTTAACAGACCTGCTAGAATCATTCCAAAAGTGCCTGTAAAGAACATTTGGCAAAGTTAGGCACAACTTGTAGTAGTACAAGTATAGCCATTACTCCTCTGAAAGGAAAAGGCTAAGTGTCCATCTGACCAGTAGCTATGATGCGCACTGACCACCTGGGGGCAGATGCTCAATGCAAGAGCTGCCATGACATGCACTGGCCATTTAAAAATAAACAGCACCGCGGACCTGGCACCAACAAACTAACACTTGGCTTCCCCCAGGAGGCCCTGCCACCACCCTGGAGCAATACCCCATCAAATCACAGCCAGTGCTGCTAAGACCCCATGGCGCAAAATGCAGCCCACAGCCCAGCCAGAAAAGGTTGCTGTGGGCTCCATGTAATGACATCACATAGCAACGCCCGGCTTCCTCTCCTTAGCAACTAGTCTCCTTTGAGTTTCTTTAGCCCAGGAACACGACTTTAATCAAATGTTTATGTGCCTCATTTCATTTGATCCTCACAGAACTCCTGAAGTAGGTAGATAGAAGACTCAGTAGGATCCTATTTTCTTTTTATTAGCTGGAAAACAGATTTAGAAAGTTTAGAAACTTGACCCAACTGAAAACCTTGAAAATGACTTCAGGTTTTCTCACTGTGCAGAATACAGTCAAACACTGCTACAGTTAAATATTTTACCCTTTGTTCTCCCTGAGTGATCTATAATAATAATCTGCTTCGTGTTGGTATTTACTGCTGTGTTGCTAACAATTACCTGAAAGAGAAGTTGGGGTGCTTCACTGGGCTGGGAAAAGTTTAGCTACAGCAGAAAGCAAGTCTAATTAAGCAAGTTTATTCTATATATATATATATATATATATATATATATATATAAAAGGCTAAGTTCACTCACGCATGCATGATACATATAAAGCTCTCCCTGGTGCCAATCGCACGCATATGTATCAATCTGTCATTGTCAATCGTGAATTTGGTTGATACTTCTATTATAGGGAAAGGACAAATAGCAATATTAAAATATTTCTTCTAATTAATTTTCTTTCATTGTGCACAAATCTGTGCACCAGGACACTACTTATACTATAAAAGTAGAGTATCTGTCCCTCAGTCCAAATGTAATTTGAACCTCAAAGTTTTTTGTTTTTTTTTAAAACCCTCATAATCTGCTTGTTTTAAAAATCTGTCACTGAAATTGCTAGTTGCATTTCATGTTTAAATTGCTTGTAGTAAGAGCAACTCCTTAAAATATTGCCATATTTCTTATGTTTTAGGAAAGCTGTAATTAGTAAATGCTTAAGTTTTTCATTTCTTTTCTCTGAAATTTCAAGTGTAACATTTTTATATTTTGGTTACTAACACTCTATATCCCAAATCTATTCTTTATTTAGGGTTGCAGCTTTATTATTGCAGACTCCTTCCTACATCATGCTTATAATTTTCATTATACACTTTGTGCCACTTTGCTGCTAGCCTTCAAGGGATTGCACAGCTACTTCATCACGGTAACAGAAGAGATACCCTCTTGTCAGAAACTAGAACTAGGTATGTTAAAGTAGTCAGACCTATCTTATAGTCAAGTAATTTTCTTCATTCTCCTATTACTAGTTATCAGCTTTGACATAGTTTTTCTATACTAAAACTGTAATGTTAAGTGCTTCACTTTTCCTTCTCTCAGTTCCATCTTTTTCCACATTTGGTAATTACTTTCTGCAATTTATGATATTGAGAACTAACTTCTTGATGCTAAGTTTGAAATGAGTCTTTTGATAGTATATGAACATATGCTTTTATTAAAAAATATACTTCAACTATAATCAGAAAGTATACTGGAAAGCAAATATAAATATAGAATCATGGGAACATAAATTAAACTCACATTTCCAAATATTTAAGAATTGAAGAAGAGTATAGGTATTTGGGACATTTTTATATACCGTATTTTTCGGACCATAAGACGCTCCAGACCATAAGACGCACCAGTTTTTAGAGAAGGGAAATGAAGAAAAAAAGATTCTGAAACAAATAGTGTCCTAAAATATTTTATGTGCATTAAAACCCAACATCACAGTCATAAACACATGTAATCAACCCTGTAAAGTAAACAGCAGCATTTAGAACCATTTTAGAGCCAGGCAAGCACACAGAGACCACACAGAGCCGGGCAAGTAAAAAAACTTTTTTTTTAAAGTATATGTGTAGGCTATATTTGGACCATAAGACGCAGGGACTTTTTCCCCCCACTTCTGGGGGGGAAAAAGTGCGTCTTATGGTCCGAAAAATACAGTACATTTGGTTTTAAGTGAACTCAGATCTTATTTATTTCATTTCAAAAAAGAATTAAACTTTAATTTTAATCCAACAATAAAATCTGCATATATGTTACAGTAGATGATTAAAAAAATTATATTGTTTTGCCCAGCTGGTGTGGCCCACTGGTTGAGCATTTACCCGTGAATCAGGAGGTCACATTTCGATTCCCGCTCAGGGCTCATGCCCAGGTTGCAGGCTCAATCCTCAGTAGGGGTGTACAGAAGGCAGCCAATCAATGATTCTCTTTCATCACTGATAGTTCTCTCTCTCTCTTCCCTCTTCCCTTCCTATCTCAATAAAATAAATTTTAAAAAATTGTATTGCCTTAACTTTGTATGTCCTTTATAGTTTGCAAAATCCTTGTACATATATAATTTCACAAAAGACAAATTATTGGGATTAGCAGAAATAAGTTTTTACTTAGACTTTCAATGATAGTTTTTTAATAAGCTTTTATTTTAAAGTATCAAGTTATAGCTCATAAAAGCACATTTTAGTGATCTCTTCAAAATAAATTATTATTTTTTTAAATATATTTTATTGATTTCTTACAGAGAGGAAGGGAAAGAGATAGTGAGCTAGAAACGTCGATGAGAGAGAAACATCGACCAGCTGCCTCTTGCACACCCCCTACTGGGGATGTGCCCACAACTGATGTACATTCCCCTGACTGGAATCGAACCTGGAACCTTTCAGTCCGCAGACCGATGCTCTACCACTGAGCCAAACCGGTTTCAGCCTGAATAAATTATTTTTAATATATATATTATATTATTGATTTCAGAGAGGAAGAGAGAGAAAGAGATAGAAACATCAATGACAAGAGAGAATCATTGATCGGGTACCTCCTGCACGCCCCCTATTGAGGATCCAGGCCACAACCCGGGCATGTGCCCTTGGCCAGAATTGAACCTGGGAACCGAGTAAATTATTTTTATTTTACATTTGAATAAATCAGAAGTTACATTTTAAATCTTAAATTTTTTCAGGGTTCTTTGTTTATTTCTTTTGTTACTCAAGAATCTCAGTCTTTTTATAATATTGATGCATTTAAAAATAGTTACTGTTATTGAAAATAGTTCTTGGGTTTGAGACTAATTAGCCTATTTTTATAATTGCCTATTTGGGAATGCAAAAGAACTATAAGAAAGTATAATAATTTGTACCTTACTTAAATTCAGCTGTCAGAAAATGCTGGATATTGTGCCATTCCCTATCATCAACTACTCCAGAGGGTTTGATTAATTCCATTAGTTCAGTTCAAACTTTTTTAACTTACCAAGAAGCAGGTATCAATTGTCTATTTAGGATATTTGATGCAAAAATCCCAATGTATACATGAAACACAACCAATAGGAATGTGTGTTTGTTCTTTTTTGCTCATGTGTTCTTTCTAAAGATAAAAATGGAAGTGTGAAAGCCTTTAGATTACTATCCTCTGAAATTTTCTTTTTCCTTACTATTATTTCCTATACTTTGAATCTTTCTATTTCCCTTAGGAAAATCCTGTAAGAGACTTAAAAAATCCTGCTTAAAATACAATTTTTTTAAAATGAAAGGATTGTTTGTAGGATTGATGAATTTAGGCTATCACTTTTCCTCAATTGATGGAAAAATTATGATGCATATATTTTTTAACTTAGTTCTTTGGAACTCAGACATATTTTCTTAGGAGAATCCTATCTAATAAAAAAGAGGGGGACAAAGAATAATATGCAAATTGACCATCACCCCAACATACAAGGTGGCTGTCCCCATGTGGACAGAAGATGGCCAGCAGGGGCAGGCAATAGGGAGGGACCAGGCCTGCAAGGGAGGGTAGTTGGAGGTGATTAGGCAAGTAGGGGAGGGCAGTTGGGAGGCACCAGGCCTGCAAGGGAGGGAAGCTGGGGGTGATCAAGCCTGCAGGGAGGGAAGTTAGGGGTGATCAGGCTGGCAGAGGAATGGTTAGGGGGTGATCAGGCTGGCAGGCAGAAGCGGTTAGGGGCAATCAGGAAGGCAGGCAGGCGAGCATTTAGGAGCCAGCAGTTCTGGACTGTGAGAGGGATGTACAGCTGCCCATTTATGCCTGATTCTATCATGATTGGGCCTAAATGGGCAGTCGGGCATCCCTCGAGGGGTCCCAGATTGGAGAGGGTGCAGGCTGGGCTGAGGGACACACAACCCCCCCTCCCCCGGCACAAATTTCGTGCACCAGGCCTCTAGTTATACAATAAATTTTGGTTAATTTAGATTTAATGACCAGACCACAAAATTATTAAACCACAGTATTAATGAAAGACAGTACCACATACCTGAAAAGTAATGTTATAAAAAGTAGTGGTGTGAAACTTAGAAGCCGTGTGTAATGCTACTTATACAAAAAAATTTGTTAATAGTTTTGATGTAGAATTTATGGAGGCCTTATCTTGTAGTGCTAAAGAGTACATGTTTGGAGCCATTTCTGTTACTTACTAGCAAAGCGAATTTCATTCTAAAGGAGTAGGGGAAATTAAAGGGAACCAAATATGGTGCATGAGTCTGGCAGGAAAGATGAAGACATCCAAAAGACAGAGGGTATAAAGCAGCTCTAGGAATAAGATTTCTTAATGGTATAATTTCCTTGGGCTTTTTATGAGTACCTAATGTGTCAGATGCTGAGGAAAGAATAGGGTCTCTGTCTTTAAAGAGCTTTGACTTCTCCCCTTCCCTTAATAAGTAATCAGTTCAGTATAGGGATGAATGAGAGAAGCTCTCCCGCAAGACGGGGCTTCTTGTGGTTTTAATGTAGAGTTACATACGAGATGGGCCTATATATGCCTGTATAAGGAAGAAGTCTATGAGCATTTAATTTTCAAATAGATTATTATTTGTGAATGAAATAACACATGAACTACATTTTAACTTAAAATCTTCCTCTAAAAGAAAGTGATGTTTAAAGAAATCAGGCGTCTCTTTTCAAAGGCAAAGATTTATTTCAAATATATTAGACAATATTAGCACTTTTTTGCTAATTTATTACTCTAACTTCAGTGTGATCATTTATTTACAAGGCCTTTAAGTTTCTCTCAGGTAAGAATTGCTTTTTTTACCCTATATGTTGCTTTGGGCTTCTAGATGCAATGTAGAAAATTTCATAATTAAAAGAGCTTTTATATTTACTTAATTTCAACTTTATTTTAAATTATATGCTTAATATTATATCAAAAAATAAAGTTCTACCGAAGCCGGTTTGGCTCAGTGGTAAAGCATCGGTCTGCGGACTGAAGGGTCCCAGGTTCAATTCCGGTCAAGGACATGTACATTGGTTGTGGGCACATCCCTGGTAGGGGGTGTGCAAGAGGCAGCTGGTCGATGTTTCTCTCTCATCGATGTTTCTAGCTCTCTATCTCTCTCTCCCTTCCTCTCTGTAAAAAATCAATAAAATATATTTTAAAATAAATAAATAAATAAAGTTCTAAAGCAAACCCAAACTTTAATTTTAATAAGTAAATAATAGTAATAGAATAAAATTATTACTACCTTATTCATCTATTTACTCAAATATATTTATTGAATGAGTGAATGATTGAATAAATAAAACAGCATAATATAGTTTTTGTTGTTACTTGAAAAGTTTATAGGCATCAATACATAGCTTATAGCAGTTTCCTAGGGATTTTTAAAATCAAGACTCCTCTTCAATAAATATGTATTGGTAATACTTTCTTAAACTTTTCATTACTATTTATATTTTCTATTTATTTTGACTTAGTTTATTATTTTATTCTTGAATGCATCTTCTAGGAGAACCTCTAAAATACTATCAACTATTCCAAATAAACTGCATATTTTTAGCTATTAATATTAATGTTGTTTATTCTACCAAAATTAAATTATAGGCACTAGATAATACATCCTTAAAACACTGTTGTCTGAACATCATCATATTCACCAGTTTTAATAAGTGGACTTAAAGTAATTCTTGATTAAAAGATTTATTTTATTTCCTTCTACTATTTAGCATTTTTCTTGAGTTTTCAAATAAATATATGTAAAAGTCTTTAACTCCACCATGCTTTGAAAATGTATCTAAACTCTGCTTTGCCTTTTAAAATGTGCCTTGAATTTCTTTCTGCTTTTGCCTTTTTATTTTCTCCTAGATGAATGATGTACATTTTTTTGATGGCATATAGTTAAATATTGGTTTGGTGCCAAGAACTCTTACTAAAATGGGAGTCACAAGTTCTGGAATCTAGGCTTTGGCAAGTGTTGGTCTGGGCTCCAATATCCACACTTGTAAAAGTAAGGGTTTGACTTAGCTGATCTCTGAGATCACTGCCATCTCTAAAATTCTGAGTCTAAAAAATTAAAACATGAAAATATCAATTATGAAATGTTGAGTGGCGCTTACATTTAAATAGGAAAGAGAACATAGTAATATAAACTTGAATGTACATCATTTGTAACTCTAATAAGCTAATTAACTAACTTAAAGATTCTGCTTCAGAATTCTAATCTAATTGCATTATCAGATCAATGCTAAATCTATTAATAACAACTTTGGAAATTCTAATAAATTTTGTTGTAAAAGGAGTATAGTAACTAGTGCTGTGTGCAATCCTTATAACTAGCCAAAGCCAACATGCAGGTCCTTTATGAGCGCCTCCTCAGAAGAAAACAGCCACGATCCCAGAAAGACACCTGTCTAGGTATGTTTATAAATAGGTTAAGTAAATAATCCCTTTTAATTAGTACTAAATTTTGCTCTAAATTAGTGTCAAAATTTTATAAATATGTATTTATATAGTGTGTTTCTACCACCGTTACTTAAGAACTTTTAGAATTTGATTTGTAGATAAGCTTTGGTTAATTTCTTAATTTGTACAATAATATTGAAGTTTTTATTTAAAACTAGAAATGATAAATGCAAAGATTTCTTTGGCTCTTTCCATTTTCTTCTAGAATCCCACAAACAGCACGTTTTGGAAACCATATTTATTGCCAGAATTTGTTGATTTAATTATATTGCCTTCAATTTATCTTTAGGTATGACTGATGATAATGAAATATGGTTTAAAAACTGAAGTTAGTTTCATGCATTACAGAAATAAAGAAGAGAAACATCTTTATTATCTGGTTTTGCTTTTTATATCATTTTGCTTTTATTTTTTATTCTAAATTTTAAAAGTTAAGTAGTATCAGTACCATCTATAATAGTATGTTACATGTTGTAAAGGAAATATTTTAATCTCAATTTATTGATATATTTCATTATATATTTTAGTTTGTTATTAACTAGAATTTAATTTACTATCTTTTTTACAAGTATATTGAAAGTTTTTACTTTGAGCTGGATAGACCATCCCAATTACATTTCTAAAAAGTTATGAAAGACTATAGTAATAAAAAATAAAATAAAATCACCATGTTTCCTAGTTTTTAGGATTATAAACAAAAGGAAATTAAGGAGCCAAAATCTTCCTTAACATTTCTCAGATGAAAACTAGCTCAGGATACTTAAGTTGGGTCAGTTTTCACTAAAACTTAAGAGAGAAAATTATTTTCTTATCAGGAAGAAAAAACAAAGTTGAAGGTTTGTTATAATCACTACTTTGGAATACAATTTTATATTCTCACTAGAGGCTCAGTGCATGAACTTGTGCACTAGTGGGGTCCCTCAGCCTGGCCTGAAGGATTGGGCTGAAACCAGCTCTCTGACATCCCTCAAGTAGTCCTGAATTGCAAAGGACACAAGCCAGGCTGAGGGACCCTATCAGTGCATGATCAGGGCCGGGAAGAGACATGGGAGGTTGGCCAGCCAGGGAAGGATCACAAGAGGTCTCCAGGGCCCATCTCGCTCAGTCCTGATTGGCTGGACTCCAGCAGAAGCTAACTTACCAGTTGGAGCATCTGCCTCCTGGTGGTCAGTGCACATCATAGCGATTGGTTGACAGGTCAACTGTCTAAACCCTGGTGGTCAGTGCATGTCATAGCGCACATGTGTCAAACACAGGGCCCGCGGGCCAAATCCGTCCCGCCAGGCCTTGCAATGTGGCCCGCACCGCGCTGTCATCACTGCACTCCGCTGCGTTTCCATCACAATGACAGTTTATGACTGTTCAGTAAACCATTAGGCCCGCGATTTAGGCTGGATTTTATATTTTGGCCCCTTCTCTGATTGAGTTCGACACCCCTATCATAGCGAGTGGTTGAGTAGTCTTAGCATATCATCATCATATTATGCTTTGATTGTTTGAAATGTGTTAGTGTTCTTTCTAGTAATAAAAATATACTTCTCCCCCAATACCTTTAATAAAAATCTTAAAAAAAAAGAATAAGCAGTTGTACTAGAAAACATATATATATATAAAATTCTCATATAAACTTGTAAGCCTGTCAATTTACATTTTAAATAATTTTACAGAATGCTACTTATGTAATAAGGCCTATATAAAGAAGGGCGCAGTTTTTAGGGGTGTGGGAAAAGACTTGATTTAAAACTGAACTGTAATGAATTAAATTATAATTTTTATTAATACTTTTATTAAATAATACTTCTATTAAGATATCTTTGATTCATAAATGCGAACATTATATTGGCATTTTCTGTGCTATGTTACAAATATCTGTTGAATAACAGAATAGATGAATGAATGGATGGATTTAGAAAATAGACTTTACCCTTTGATCTAACAATCCCACTTTAGTTAACCTATATAACAGAAATAAGAGTACTAGTATGTAAAGATATATGTATAAGCATTTTTATTGTTATATTGTTCTTAGTGTTAAAACACTCAAAATAAATGTTCATCATCTGGCAAAGTGGAGTATAGAAGAAATTATGCGGTACTCACACAAAGGAATATTATGCATCCATTTTAGAAAATGTTTTAGGGCTCCAGATTTTCATGGAGTGCTGAGAGAAAGAAAAAGGCAAATTGCTGAAAATGTATAAAATACCCCATTTTTGTAAAACAGCAACTCCAAAACTTAATATATGTATATGTATGTATGTTTGAAAAATATGTTCAAGGTGCTAACCTAGGATTAGCAGGAGGAGCTAAAATAAATTATTTTATGTAAGATAATATATCACATTTATACATTTCTATAAAATTGTGTGTGTGTGTATACATATATATATATATATATATATAATATATATATATATAATGTTAAGAAGAAAAATTAATTGAAGTAGAATTTTAAACTCAGATAACATTCGTAAATGATTTTGAAGTCTTTTGAACTCAAAAGATTTTGAGGTTAAGTTTTGCTTTTAAACATTCTTTAAGATACTGGTTACATTGAAGTAGCTTTCACTAGCCATAATATAAATGTATCAGTTTATGCATTTGGATCCTTTATGTAAAGATTTTAAAAAGTATCAAAACTCAAACTTTAAAAAATTTTTCATTTTTAAAAAATTTCTAGGATATGTAACTACTAAAACTTTTTCTATCACAGGTAAAGATCATGAGTAATGTGAAAACAGTATTGGCATATGAAAGTTATGATTTTAAAACAGGGTCTGCTGCTGATTTCTTTTCAATTTTGGAAAACTTAATAGTAGAAGCTGCTGATTTATTTGACAATGAAATAATTTGTGAAATCTTACCAGATTTCTTTAGTTATCAGTGGGTTGACCAAATTTGTAATCTATTTCTTGGTATATTTTAATAACTAAATATAATTTTATTTATATATTTTGTCAATTACAAAACATATGTGTTCTACTAGTTTTAGTTACCAGTAGAACATCTGTCGTTCACAGCATAGTTTGGTTGTATTAACTGTATAATTGTAAGTGCTTATTTTATCAAATTAAATGTTTATCATTCTTTTCATCAAGTAGTAAACATTCAGTATGCCTTATGAGATAGTAAGTTGATGAGTGAATTCAGGATTTTAAAGAAAGTATTCTTGCCTTTGTGTGAGAAGGATCAATTAAACTCTCTTTAAGCAATAAAAGACACTACTAAGCTTTAGTGAAATTTTTAATATGTGAAATACAATAAAACCTAATTATATGTTTTGTCTTTTCTGTGATGTTACAGTACATGTTATTTTAGGTAAATAGTCAATATTTCCTTGACTGTGTTAGCCTCTTATAGGAACTGAAGCACTCTATTTAATAGAGCATAGAATTTAATGATTATCACATTGCCCACATGATTAATGTATTTATGAATATACATTATGTTGAAATGTAATTCATTGAATATAGTCAAAATATTTCTGCTTTTTAAAAGGTAATTTAATTTATATGATTTCAAAAATAGTTTTCAGGTAAAACATTGAAATACTTTCTCTAATTGCTCTTTAATCCTTTCAGAGGATATGGATGTAGAAGCTCGGCTTACTGAACTATGTGAAGAAGTTAAGGTACTTGGATTTTTAAAATTCATATGATCAAGTCATTTGAGTGGATTGTGCTTTTTATTCTAAAAGTTGTGTCTAAGAAAACTTAGTAATTAATTATCTTTCCTAAAATGCAAAAACAAAATTGTTGATTATAGTAGAAGCACAGTTAAAAGACATTTGACTGGAGCGTGAAGTTAAAATTATCTTTAAAATGTATGTTATTCTGCATATAAGTGAAATAGCAGTCAACTGATCAAAAGTGTGCTTTTTTTTCAATTAGTTTACTCAAAGAACTTCTAGACAAGTTTTTAAAGCATCACTTAAACTAGCATATTTTTATAAAATGATATTCAGAAATGAAAATTTGTTTTATTTCAATAGGTCAAATTTTTGCACAACTTTAAAATGGTACTTTCAACAAATGTTTGATGATGTAGGAAAATGTTCATATTGTGATATTAAGTGAAAATGGCACTAAAAAAATGTTTGTAATCAAGCAAACTCAATGCATGTTTTTACATAGTGTATATTCCATGTAAGATATGATAATCAAGGCTATTTTAAAAAACACAAATGTAAGATCTTATTCCGACATTAATAAGTATAAAATACCTTCTCAAACTTAATACTAATTTTCTTTTTAACATAAAAGTAATTTATTATTAACATTTTAAGACTTGTATAAAGATTTATATAAACCAGAAGAAGTGTAGCTTATTTATACTTTAAGAGTTGCTTTCCCAAAATGAACATACTAAAGTCCTCTCTCAAAACTGTGGTGCCATAATCCCTGAGAAATAAAATTAATAATTACAAGGTATGGAGATATAATTAGTATAATTTGGCACAATTTGAACTTGAGCAACTTTATTTTCACGTCCAGGTATAGTCATCCAGTAGGTAATAGGTCAAAAGAGATGTGATTCAGAGATATAAATTTAGCTGTCCGTGGTATTAAGATGGTACCATGGGAGTGACTTTTCAACTTCAAACTCGATATACTGCTTCTGCCTTCTTTAGGATAGGGAAATGAAATCAGCATCTATCCATATATTTAGAGTAGGTGTTCTAGTATTACTAGTAATTGAATACAAAATTTTTGCAGTAAGAAATTATCTTCCTGAAAACTGACTACCGTCATGGTGAAATAAAGAAAAACCTGTCCTCATAATAAAAATGCTTGTCCAAAAGAGAAGCAGTCATCCTTGGTGATATATATATATATATATATATATATATATATATATATACACACACACACACACACACACACACACACACACACACTTTATACTTTATTCAAAAATCCTTATTTTATCATTCAAGAAAACCAAATGCTTTTTATAAGATTCTGTATAATCTATTGTAGTTCCATAGTATAACCTAGAACTCCTAACTTTAGGTGAATATTTAAATAAATAGAATCTACTTCCATAGTATAACCTAGAACTCTTATCATCAGTTTAGGTGAATATTTAAATAAATGGAATAATTTAATACCACTGTTAGAACACTCATAATAGCATAATTGTTTACCCACCACTTTTTCCTCACTAGACTGTGAGCTTCTCACATTAATCTTTGTATCTGTAGAATGTTAGGCCCTAACATTTAAAATGTGTTCAATAAACAGTAGATGAATATTATAAAGAGAAAAAGTGTTTGACAACTGTGTAAAAGAATTATCATCAGCAAAATGAAATGTAAGAAACATAGGAGTGATGCAAAAGCAGTACTATAGATAGTCCTTTATAAGAAGTTACAGATCTTTTTAAGTTCTTTACATTCGCTTATTGGAGAGAGAGAAAAATTAAGATTTCATCTTTCAAAAATTTTCTAACTTTCAGTATGATTTGTATATTGTATTTAAAATTCCAAGTTTTTAGCATTTGAAGTTGATCATGCTCTATAGAATCCTGATTTATAATTTTGTACTGGATTTGACATTATTGCAGTTATAAGATACCTCAGATATTAAAATATTTGTTAAGTCATTTAAAATTGCTATAGTAATTATCAAATAGAAAAAAAAAACCACAGGTCAGTTTTCTTTCTACACATACACACATATTTCTTTTTAAAACTAAAAATGTGCCTTTGTATTAATATTCTCAATAATGTATTATTTTTAGGTGTGTTATAATAAGTCTCAGAGAGCAGTTAAGGGTTTGTTTGTTTTTTGTCATTTCAGAAAATAGAAAACCCTGATGAACTGGCAGAACATATAAATATGAATCTTGCACAACTTTGTTCACTTCTAATGGCTTTATGGGGACAATTTCTGGAAGTTATAACACTACATGAAGAACTACATCATTTATTAGCACAAGAAAACCATACTTTGAGGGTAAGTTAAAGAAAAGTGTTATTAGAGCATTTTAATAAGTATTAACATTTATCTTCAGAAATTTCTTATGAGTGAAAAGCCTGATTTTTACTTCATATGTTGATAAATCAGAAAAGAGACATTTATTTTGTTAATGTCTCTGATTTCTAAAGGTAATAATAGAAGAAAAAAAAACACAAATATATTCAACAGGGTTTTTATTTATTTTTGGCAAAATTTTTAAATGATATAACTTTTTTAATTGAAGAAAATTGTTGTATAAACTGGTACAGTTTTCTTTTTTTTTTTGTGTGGGGGGGGGGTGTTTCAAGTTTAATCCCCTAAAAGGGTTGCAGGAGGTAGCCAATCAATGATTCTCTCTCATCATTGATATTTTTCTCTCTCTCCTCCCTTGCTCAATTAAAAAAATATATATATTTTAAAAAGACACCAATTTCTTGTTAAAAATTGTAAACTATAAAACTAAAAATATAACTGAAATAAGAACTTACTGTATGGGCTCAATAGCAGAGTAAAAAGGACAGAGGTTAAAACCAGAAAGCTGAATTCTGACCAATAGATTTTACTTAGTCTGCACAGCAGAGAGAAAAAAGACTGAGGGAGAGAAAAAAAAAGAAAAAACAGAGCCTCATGGACTTGTGAGACAAATACTACTATATCCTCAGTAGAAGAGAAAGAATGATGAGCTGAAAAATATTCAAAGAAATAATGACCGAAAACATTCCAAATTTAGCAAGACGTACAGGGTGGGACAAAAGTAGGTTTATAGTTATTCATATGAAAAATAATAAAATTAATCCTATATAATAAAAGCCTAATACTCTAAATGTCCAGTCATCCAGTCTGCCATTCAACCAATCAAAGCATAATATGCTAATGATATGCTAAGGCTGCTCAATCAAAGAGTAATATGCTAATGATATGCTTAACACCAATCAACTGCTTGCTATGACGTGCACTAACTACCAGGGAGTAGACAGTCGACCTGTTGACCAGTCACTATGATGTGCACTGACTACCAGGGGGCAGATGCTCCAACTGGTAGGTTAGCTTGCTGCTGGGTTTCAACCAATTGAGACTTGAGCAAGATGGGCCCGACATGCTCTGAAGCCCTCCCACAGTCCCTCCCTAGCTGGCCAACCTCCCACATTCCTCCCTGGCTCCGATCATGCACTGGTGGGGTCCCTTTGTCTGCCCTTTGCCTTCTTGCAATTTGGGACCCCTTGAGGGATGTCTGAGAGCTGGTTTCAGCCCAATCCTGCAGGCCAGGCCAAGGGACACCACTAGTGCACAAATTCATGCAGTGGGCCTCTAGAAAAAATAGTGCAAGATAAACTTTGTTTTCCATATTCATAATTATAAACCTATTTTTGCCCAATCCTGTATACATATACACATGTACATCACCATTGAGTGATGAATGGTGGCAGCTCAAATAAATGAAGAGAGGATAAATAACCCAATATATAGTTGGGAACACTGTGTTAAAATAAGAAAGTTTGATCTCTCTCTCACACCATCACACTATTAAAAATTAATTCTGGCCAGATTAAAATGGTTAACAAAAATACACAATAAGACTATAAAAATGAAAAATTCCAGCCTTAGCCGGTTTGACTCAGCAAATAAAGTGTCGGCCTTCGGACTGAAGGGTCCCAGGTTTGATTCCAGTCAAGGATACATGCCCAGGTTTTGGGTCAATCCCCAGTAGGGGGCGTACATGAGACAGCCAATCAATTATTTTCTCATATCATTGATGTTTCTGTCTCTCCCTCTTTCCTTTCCTCTCTGAAATCAATAAAAAGATTTTTTTTTAAATATCCAGTCAAATGATTAGTATAATCTTGGGATGAAGAGCTTTTAAAACTTGAAATCAGTTTTTAAAAACACACTCAAAGAAATTTTGTTTCATTCTCTATCTAACAATGGCAAGAATACAGTATTTCTTGATACTGTAAATAAAAATACAATTCTGTGAATCCTTTATTTTAATTCTGTGAATCCTTTTAGTATTTGTCCTCCGATAACTCAGTGAAAATTATTATCATCTATATTATGTAAGTAGGGTCTTCATAGTTAAGTCTTTAAGTAAGATCTAGTGATACTTTATATTTTTTCTTATAAGGCATCAACTCTTGCAAATATCTGTTGAAAATATTGAAATAATGTAAGCAGGAAATCAGTTTAATTCATAATTTGTATTTTTAAATTATTGCTTCATATAGAATTACTAGAGGTCTGGTAAACGAAATTCATGCACGGGGGTGGTGGGGGAGTGTCTCTCAGCCCACCCTGAACCCTCTCCAATCTGGAACACCTCGAGGGATTCCCGACTGACCTTTTAGACCTGATGTCTAACTGCTCCCCTGCCAGCCTGTTTGCCCCCAACTTCCCTCCTCTGCTGGCCTGGTCACCCCTGACTGTTCTCCCCTGCAGGGTTGATTGTCTCCAACTGCCCTTTCTCGCAGGCCTGGTCCCTCTCAACTGCCCTCCCTTGCTGGCCATCTTGTGGTGGCCATCTCATGTCCACATAGGGCAGGATCTTTGACCACATGAGGGCAGCCATATTGTGTTTTGGGGTGATGGTCAATCTACATATTACTCTTTTATTAGATAGGATAAAGGCCTGGTGCATAGATGGGGGCCAGCTGGTTTGCCCTGAAGGGTGTCCCAGATCAGGGTGGGGGTTCCCTTGGGATGTGAGGTGGCCTGAGAGAGGGGCCTGCGGTGGTTTGTAGACCAACCATGCCCCCTGGCAACCCAAGGGGAGGCCCTGGTATCTGTAATTTATTTACCTTCTACAATTGAAACTTTATAGCCTTAAGCAGAGGCCTGGGCAGGCTAGGATGTGCAGAAAGCTTTGCTTCTTCCATTGCCGAGGGCATCCCTAACCTTCCACTCTTTCTATCTCCGTGGCTGCTGCCATTTCTGTTTTGATTTGTTTACCATCTATAATTGAAACTTTGTAGCCTTGAGTGGAGGCTTAGGCCAGCTAGGGCAGGTGGAAAGCTTGGCTTCCTCCATTGCCTGGGAAACCCAAGCCTCCCTCCTGCTCTCTGTGGCTGTAGACATCTTGGTTAGGTTTATTTGTATATTTGCTCTGATTGGCTGGTGGGCATGGTTTGTGGGTATAGCAGAGTGGTGGTTAATTTGCATATTACTCTTTTATTATGTAGGATACTATCTCTAGTAGTTGTCTACTATTTGAGCTGCACATTATAGAACACTTAACCAACAGTGACTCAAATAAGGTGTTTTTTTTCACACAACAATTTTGGATGTAAGGAGTATTGTCATTAAAGTCTAGGCCAATACTCTTTGTGCATAATTCAAAGTTAAAAAATACTTTCCTGGCCCTGGCTGGTGTGGCTCAGTTGGAGCATCCTATCATACACTGAAAGGCCATGGGCTCTATTCCCAATCAAGGCACATAACTAAGGTTGCAGGTTCGATCTCTGGTCAGGGTGCATACAGGACACAACAATTGATGCTTCTAGCCGAAACTGGTTTGGCTCAGTGATAGAGCATCGGTCTCCGGACTGAAAGGTCCCAGGTTCGATTCCTGTCAAGGGCATGTACATTGGTTGCGGGCACATCCCCAGTAGGGGGTGTGCAAGAGTCAGCTGGTCGATGTTTCTCTCTCATCGACGTCTCTAGCTCTCTATCCCTCTCTCCTCCTCTCTGTAAAAAATCAATAAAATATATTTTTTTTTTTAAAAATTGATGTTTCCACCTGACACTGATTTTTCCCTCTCTTTTCCTCTTTTCCTGAAATCAATTTAAAATTAAAAATAGTTGCCAGGACTCTAGACATCAGCTTTCAAGAGAGTAAAGGGTAGAAGGAAGGTATCAGCCACATTCATCTCTCTGTCTTAGTCTGCTCAGGCTGCTATAACAAAAAAACCATAGACTTAATAGCTTTAACAACAAATATTTATTTCTCATCATTCTGGAGGCTGTGAAGTTCCCAGTACTGGCAGATTTCATGTCTGACGAGAGCCCACTTCCTGGTTTATAGATTTTTGTCTTCTCACTATGTCCTCACAGGACTCCAGTTTTCTTGAAATCACTAATTTATTAAATGTTTGACGTAAATCCATATGGCAATGGAGAAGAAAATGTTTTTTAAATCTAAATTAATTAATGTATATATTTTACAGTAGATTCTCATGTCTGATATCAGTATATATTAGATATTTAAAAATTCATAGTCCTCAGAGGCTTAGCACAAAAACTTTGCATTCAAGAGATCTAACGTTTATAAACTCCAATGCAAGCTTCTTGAATTATTGGGAACGTTTCAAAAACCAGGCATAAAAATCTAATAACTGCTTCTTCTGTTTAACAATTAAATGGTGAAATAAATTAAAGGGAATAAGTTTTGGTGTTTTTAATCAGTATTGGAACAAATACTTATGTAAGTTGAGATTTAATTCCCACTTGAAAAATTACCTTGCTGCTAAAATGCTCAACAAAATATTCGCATACCTGATTAAAAAGATCATACACTGTGATCAAGTGGGATTTATTCTAGGGATGCAAGGTTAGTCCAATATTTGTAAATCAGTAAACATGATATATCATATAAACAAAATGAAAGATAAAAATCACATGATCATATCAATAGATGCAGAAAAAGCATTTGATAAAATCCATGACTCGTTTATGATAAAAACTCTCAGCAAAGTCATAATAAATGGAATATATGTCAACATAATAAAGGCCTTATCTGACAAACCCACAGCCAGCATCACAGACAATGGACAAAATCTGAAAGCATTTCCCTTAAGATCAAGAATAATACAGGGATAACCACTTTAACCATTCTTATTTAACATAATTCTAGAAATTTTATCCAGACAATCAATGAGACAAGAAAAAGAAATAAAAGGCATCCAGATTGGAAAGGTGGAAGCAAACTGTCATTATTTGCGGATGAAAGGATGCATATAGAAAACTCTAAACACTTAACAAAAAAACTACTAGAACTGATAAATGAA